CAATATGATTTCGAATTTTTTTTTTTTACGTTTGGAGATATCAGGCACCATAAGACGCGCATCCCATTATGCACTTTGAGTTTGACCTCACTTCCAAAACTCACGAAGTATTTTCATGTATTAAGGAAATACATTTTATTGAAATTGCCAAGAAAAAAGGAATCGCATTGTTCCCCTCTTTCGTATCTATATTGTTGGGCCTTTAATTGACATGTCCCATAGGGTTTATCCACAACGACAATACAGAGGACCTGGTCTCAGGTCCTTGGGGATGTTGTTGCATCAAGTCATCAGTTGTAAAGGACAACCTGATGTATCGTTACACGATTATCGCAGAAGTGGACATCACCGGCCCAAATCGACCTTGGGATATAAAAACCGGTGAAGCGCCTTTCCTTTGACTCATCTACCACTCTAGCAGTTAATAATTAGTAGGGTATTAGCTCGCAATAATAAAAAAAATCCATTAAGAGATTAAAGTAGTTCTATAAAGACCATGAATAATTAACAAGAAATAAAACACAAGAGCTTTTAGCAGCTAACTTGTTTTTTATTCACTCATCTATTTCTAATTAATGGGAGAATAATGGTAATATCCTGCTGCAAAAATGCAACTTATAAACTTAAAGAAGCAAGGTCCTTAAGATCATTATTTAAACCTTGGGTTTAAAGCCAAAAAAAAAAGAGGCTTGAAAATCCCGCTATGTAGCGCAAGAAGAATTGAGTAATTTTTGAATTTGATAACTATGAGTTCGTACCACCACTTTTGCCTTTGTATCCAAGAATTCTTGTAGCAAATTGGTGGGCATGTCTTGTCAATTTCTTTTGGGATGAAAGCCAGCTTGTATAAGCGGGGTGGGGTGGGGTGGGGGGGGGTCGGGGAGGGCGGTGACTAAAGGGACTGCCACACTGTTCTAAAACATGCATACAAATGTACATACAAACGTGTACACGCGTATGGGCTCCGTGCGCCAACAAAGACGTCGCTTTACCTAGCAACGACGTCCCATGGGCGGGACATTTAGCTGGTTGATGCGTATCGTTCCTTGTGCGTGACGCACGTACACCAGGGATTTGTACTAATGGTCATTGATCTCCATATGCACAGTGTATATGGAGATCAATGTACATGGTATACGGCCGCGCGTCGCGGCAACATTGGAGTCAGGCAAGATGGCGTCGGTCGGTCACCTCCATTGATCTCCAACTCAACTTCGTTCCCCATGGGTACGATCTTGCTGCGCCATGTTGTTTCCCATCATGCCTTGCGCGATCGTTAGTGTAAGGAACGCGCACGCGCCCATGGAGTCGAGGCTGCCCCCAACTGTGCTTTCTTTGCCGGTGAGGGGGTACTTGTGATCGGAACGGATACGTTTACAGACTTTACGTTCATTCATTGCATAACAGACCTTATGTGAAGCGGCCATCTTAGAGAACATCCTTTATCTAAATTAGTACAGTAACAAAGAATGCACAGAAGATTCACTCATATATCCCAGCAAAACAAAGGCACTGCTCTCTAAAATGGCTGCTGCGCTTAATGGTCTATACGTATTGAATTTAAATACTACTCGAGCTGTTGGAATATCAAACTAACCGAGTTTTCGCACCAATGGCGGTCATATTGCATTCCAAGTACGCATTTTAGTTGGTCATGTGAACTAAATTCCCGCTTGATATGTTTGGGCTAAGAAATCATGTGTTTAAATAATAAAAATGCACATTTCACGTTTTAACACAAAACGACCTACCACAGATACAATTTTAAAAGCTTCATGCTAATCGGACGAAGTGTTCCGGAGGTACCGGAATTACAAGACGTTTCATGAGGGGCTCATTGCCCCCCGGCCTCCCGGGTCCGCCAAATAGTCCGAAGGTTCGATAGTCCGAATGTTTATTGATCCGAAGGTTCGATAGTTCGAGTACACACATTTCCCATAACTTGGGGTTCATTAGTCCGACTCGGTTCGTTAATCCCAGCATTTGATGCGATAGTCCGATTAAGGTTCGTTAGTCTAAAGGTTCCATAATCCGAAGGCTCATTTGTCCGAAGGTTAGATAGTCCGAATTTAGAACAACGTTAATTTAGGCCTATTAGTCCCAAGGTTCAATAGTCCAAAACGAAAACAAGGTTCAATAGTCCGAAAGCAGTAGGCCTATAGGCGCAAAAGTCCGAATAAAATTAAATGCTGTCAATACAGTTGAACCTTATTGTCGATTCGGACTATCAAACTTTACACAAATATAACATGGTTTGAGGGTGGACAGTCGATATTCGCTCCCCGAGGTATCGGAAGTTGACAAACAAGTTCCCGAGGCGAAGCCGAGGGAACTAGTTTGTCAACTTCCAATACCGAGGGGAGCGAATATCGACTGTCCACCCGAAATAAACCATGTTATATTTGTTTTACTATACCTCATACATATTCAGTTGCCGAATTTTGTTTTATTATTATGCACCTAAAACAAAATTCGGGGAAACTTGTACAGCTCACCAAAAAATTCAACTTCAATTACTAGTTCGGTTCGTTTGCAGTATAATACAGTTACTACAGTTGTAAATACAGTTGTTTGCAATGTGTACAACTTTCTTTTGTACAGGAGACATCTTTACACGGTCTATACATTTTCTCCAGTACGGCATCATTGAGCTCTGGAAATTAACATTTACGTGAACCATGCAACCGTGCATCTCTCCTGGGCGATGTTCGCGCGTGCGTACTGCACCCGTGCGACAGTTCCTCGATTGCTCTGTAAAGCGCATGCGTAGTAGACTGTCGCACGGGTAACCCATGCGACAGTCTACTACGCATGCGTATTTACAATGTGCGTGAATCCTCGCGCGCGCGTTTGGTAAACAGCAAGAATAACATCTGGCACGTGATGGTGAATTGACCATTGAACGTTCGGCTCTAGATCATGAATATGTATGAGGTATAGTAATACCATCTATTCGGACTATCGAACTTTCGGATGATTGAACCTTACATTTTTGGTAGGGCCAGTATCACAAATCCAGTGGTACCACTTGCGATAATTTATTCGTACATCAACGGGCCAGTATGTTTATTCGTGAGAACAGAACAATGATATCAAGAGCATTGTTGTTATTTAGTCAACCGTAACATTCAAGCATTTTTAAGAACGGTCGTCGTCGAGCTAGCCTAGTGGATAGCGAGATGAGCTATGGATACAAAGATCCTTGGTTCGAATCCACGTCGTCGCTGATCACCTTCATCGATTTTTTTCTTCTCTGAGTTTATCGTTGAGATAATTTTAATTTAAGGGGACAAGAGAATGAGAACCTTGCATGATGGAAAGGAAAATCATGAATTATCATAAGTGGTATATACCACTGGAGTTGTGATACTTGCGCTACCCATTTTTTACGGACTTATGAGCCCTTCGGATCATCGAACCTTCGGACTATTTAACCTTCGGACTATTGAACCTTCAGACTAACGAACCTTCGGACTAACGAACCTTCGGACTAACGAACCTTCGGACTAACGAACCTACCGACTATCGAACCTTCGCACTAACGAACCTACCGACTATCGAACCTACCGACTATCGAACATTCGGACTAACGAACCTTGGAGTAACGAACGAAGCATTTATTTAGTATTCATAAATACCTAAGACAATTTACGCATTCCTATTGGTCGAGAGCCCGTCACGTGGCCGGTCTTAAACGGATGATAAAGACATGGCTAGCTGGTCTTAAACCATTGATCTCCATATACACAGACTGTATGGAGATCAATGTCTTAAACACTTTTCCAGTGTCACAATAAAATGTGGACTCCTAAAAATCCAGTGCCTCTTATCGTTTCATTGGTTGAACGTTCACAATCCTCACGTAGGCTTGCGCAACACTACCAGGGAGTCAGAATTTTATAGTTCTAAATTCAAAACGCAACGCGCCAGGTGCGTTCAGCGCGACATCGCGCCCTACATGATACGCGCGCGTCAATCTCCATAAAAGGGTTGTTTACATCTTACTCGCCAGCTGAACACTCTCCATTATTTTGCAAGAGGGATGTTTCAAAAAGCATAAAGTGAATTTGTTGAACAAAATCGGGATGTTTTGAACGAATTATATGATTTTTTTTTTTACCGAAAAGGTATTTATGAATGGGAATAAATATGTACTCCGGCGGTATTTATCACTCTGTTTAAGACCACTTAGAGTCTGGGTGCTGATAATTACCCTCGCCTCCGGCTCGGGTAATTTCAGCACCCAGACTCTAAGTGGTCTTAAACAGAGTGATAAAAACCTCCGGAGCACACATTTATTCCCTTATTCTAAACATTATTTTCCGAGTTTTGTCACAGTCATGTATAGATTTCCACCAAAAAAATTATGTTTTTAAACATTATATTCTACAGTATAATTGCAGGTTATATACATTAGAATAAATTATATGAAATTATCAAACAGAAAGTACATAGGCCTATCGGGGCAAATATTTACCCAAAAAACCCATTCAGTATGAACACATACACATTTTAACTGGTTATCTATAATGTGTTGAGAAAATGCGTTCATATATGCGTTCCGCATGCTCTTCAACAAATCCACCCCCTGTTAATACATTTTTAACTGTTTTATTCTAACCCCAATCGATACTGATTGTGGGGCGGAAACCAGCCTACTCTGCGAGAACGGAATTATTGTCTGGCAGCCAGTAACTCGAAATCGAATAACGAATTCAATTAATACACGTGGTTCGATTTTCTTCGGTCGATGGCTCCAGAAAAGGAAGCTATTTTTCGGGATGAAACTCGAAAATAGCACGGGAATGCATCTTTTAATAAAAGTGCCAGCACTTCGCAACCAGTACACTAGAGTATGCACTACCAATATCTCCACTCCTTTTTATTTAAAGAACGAAATATCGCCCCACCTTCCATGGATGGGTCCAGTTTGGCCCCGGGAGAGGGTGGTGGGGGTGGGGGTGGGGGTGGGGGTGGGGGTGGGGGGGGGATAGCAGGCATGTGCTACGTTTTTCTGCATGATTATGCATGTTGTGCAATTGGGGAGGGGGGGGGGTAGACCGCCTTAATCCACGTACTATCCATCACTGCCTTTTCAGAAAAATTACCAATATGGCGCCCCGGTTGAAAAATCTGGATACGTTACTGGTAAAGATTTGGACAACAGAACACCGAAGAAGAACCAAATGGCCTGGGTGTGTTTGCCACGACATCTTCGTAACACTCGGAGCCCGTGTAGTCACCACATCCGTTACTGTACAGCTGCACATCGCGGTTAGGCACAGCGCTATAGAGCCAAGAGCTGGGTGGACGGTAACCGCTGAGGTAAGCAGCCTTCAACTCGGGTAGCGAACACGGGTGAGAGGCCAGTGCGGAGCAGCCCCGTGCTTGCCCGGCGACATCCTGGAGACTGTAGGTCTCACTGGTGATGATGGGGTACTGGGGGCTGAGCTGCGACCCGAGGCAACAGATGCCGGGGGAAGAGGTTGTCATCGGCAGGCCGTGTTGAGTGACTTCGTTCCCGTTCACCACCGCCTGGCTGTCCGGCACAGCGTACCAGATATCGGTGTCTGCCGGTAGTATAAGTTCGGCGTACCCAGCCGCGTAGGCCCGGTCCACTTCCCACAACTCGCAGAGATGCTGGTCGGCCGTTTGGCAGTCGGCAGAGGCCGATGCCTGCGTGTCATAGGTGCGGTCAGTCAAACCAGGTACCTCTAAAGAAAATATCAGAAAAGTTGGGTTTTTTTTTAATGGAAAAATCAATCATTTTATTTGAGCATGAAAATTGTACACACAATAATAAATAAATAAATAAATAAATAAAAAGCGTACTCTTTCTTATTTTCCATGTGTGCAGATTTCAGCAACTTAACAACAAATCGAGATTCTGTTTTTTTTTTTTTTTTTTTTTACATCTTCAGTGATTTTACAAAATCTCTCCGAAGTGCCCAACTTTTGTCAAGCCCCCCCCCCCCCAAAAAAATGTTGTTAAAAACTAGATGGTTGTGGACAAACACGTGGCTGTTTCGGAATTTAGTTGACATAAATTCAGGTCATGATATAGATTGATAGTTTGCACATCCCAATGTTGGTGCATGCATACCAAGTTAGCACCAAATCGAACCTGTACTTCTGTTCATGTATAGACGTTGTGCCTATACAGGGTGGATAAAAAAAAACGAAACCGAGATATTATTGCTAATTGAAACAGAAGTAGGGCACATGTGAATCAAAGGGAGATATCCTCTGCTATAGGGTTGAATCTCTTCCTTAAAATGACACCCTGGTCATGTCATTACATTCACGGTTGACTGAGCAGTGACCAATTTTATGAAAGGGTCTATTTAGAGAGTTGCACCACTTTTCAATTGTGGTTTTTGTGGTGTTACTTGTCAGAGTGAAAGGCTATGGTTGCCAATCAAGGCTGGTGGGGAAAAAAAGTGATTTCACCACGAAAAGTGGCGAAATTCTCTAAATAGACCCATTCATGAAACTGGTCACTGCTCAGTCAACCGTGAATATAATGACATAATAAGGGTGTCATTTTAAAGAGGAAATCAACCCTAACAGAGGATATCTCCTTTTGATTCACATGTGCCCTACTCATGTTCCAATTAACAATACTATCTCGGTTTCGTTTTTTTTTTTTTATCTACCCTGTATAAACTAATACACATGTCATGTTCTACTTTGAATGTAACGGTTACCTGGGGGTTTGGGGTTACCTAATTTGTATGTCCCTGACTTTGGAGATTCCAACTAAATATGAGTCGATGTTATGCAAACATTACATGGGCATCAAACTGTATGATATTAGGCCAAAGATGAGAGTCTTTTCATTTTGGTTCGAAAACTAAAGGTCAAACAAAATTGGTTTCAATGTTAGAAACGACGAAGACGGAAACGACGGTTACCTAACATTTATCAGACTGATCAGAAATATTTTGGTCTTGGAACCAGACTAGGTGGAAAGCAAACACAGTATTCACAATTTGGGCAGCTTGTAAGGAAAAATTAAGTAGGCCTACAGTTAAGACTTACCCCTGTTTCCTTTGGCTTTAACCAGTAACTGGAGCCTCGCAACATCAAGTGGCTGCAAGAGAAACACAAACACAGGACCATAAACATATTTAGCTGGCGCACGTAGTTGACAAGCGTTAGTTAGCCCCTTTGTAATTGTGATAACCAACCTCTGGGAGTTCCAAATACTGGTGCCAAACAATAGACCTAAGACATAATGACGTCACTCTCTGTTTACATGTACACTTTCCTATAATAGTCTATGTAATAGACCCATGGCAAATACCATGGGTCTATGATATGTGAACAGATTCGCTGATTAATTAGGCTAGCGGGCACTTTCCATATCGGGTCGTCATTCACCCGTTGCGCGTCATAGACAATGGATTAAAAAACCCTGCGTCACGCGCTCTGTATCATGTTACGCGATAATGTGCCCTGCTGTTGTTGCATTACAAAACACTGCGTTCGAACCGACCAATCAAACCATTTAGTCCTAATTTAGGAATGAAATGACGTCACGACTTTGTAAAGTCGACTCGGATTGGCTGGCGCGCGGCTTGCATATATGTATATGTCTAGACATATCAGAAGTTATACAGGGGTCTTGCTCTGTGGATAACAGGTGATACTCAGACTACTTTCCTACGGGAGCCATGGCCCAATTTCATGGCTCTGTTAACCACAGAATTCCGCGCTTACGATCACCAATAATTGTGCCAACAGCGGCTAGCAGAAAAATTCTGCGTTAACCCAGTAAGCACAGAATCCTTAGTTACGGGATGTACGCATGCACAGCAGTCAAAATTCCTCGCCAACCCATACGATACCCTTACCGTAAGCACGGAATTGTCTGCTACAGTAAGCAGTGATTCTGTGCTTACGGTATACAGAGCCACGAAATTGGGCCGGCTGTGGGAACGAGATCTACCAAGCTCCCAAAGGCAGGGTGATCGTAAGGTCATGGCTAAATTCTGCCAAATGGACTTCCAAAATCTGTCAGATTGATAAGAAATCTGCCAAGTTCCCAAGAATTACTCGAAATGCTCGAAATACACTATAAACACTTAAAATCACATGCACATATTGTCGTATTGCCTTAATTAAGGTTCAAAGTAATTGCAAACATAAAGATGTTATGGAATTGCGTAAATTTTAAACAAAACACTCGCCGAAGTCCAGTTCCCAGTGAACCTCGGCACCTAAACCAGCCAAACTGTCCCATTATGCAAGAGTTTGTTTGAAAAGATCAAAGCATTTGTAAACAAATGTACCTTTTTGTCAAATTTGCTATGTTTTTCTGTCAAATAACCATTTTTTGCAGAATTCTGCCAGAAATCGGCCAAAAAAAATCCATTCTGTCAAATTTTCAGTCAAACTTGTTTTATAACAAAAATCTGTCAAAGTTAGCCGAAAATCGGCTAAAACGGTCACCCTGCCCATAGGAAGGCGCACACGTAAACAAAGCATGATTGAATCTTCGCTCATTGTCATTTTGTGCTCAGTGATTCTGCACTTGGCCCAGGCCAGCCAACCCGAGGCAGCAATTCCATACCAAAAGAATGCAGTATCCCGCTGGTGATTTTCAACACAACTATCTGCGGTTGTGTGTACTTTGTTCGGGGAGTTGCATTTATTGATGAAACGAAAACGATCCATTGGATAAATTCGCAGTCATGCTTCTTTTTAAATTGTATACGTTTTGATGTAAAGACGTCATTATCCGATCCTTATTGTAATGCCTTATTATTGCCCATATCGTCACCGTTTTGACGAAGTGACGAATCTGTGCACACAGCTGCGAAACCAAGTTTTGAGAAATCAAATCGCATTTTCGCTTACATTTTCCCCCAGAATAAAAATATATATAGCTAATGCGATTGCCCCCAAAATATAATACTCATACATTCGTGAACGCAGATTCGTCACTTCGTCAAAACGCATCTAAATAATTATAGCACACGTTTAACATCAATGCGACTAAGTGACGAGTAGAGATTTTGCCACTTCTTCAAAACGAAAAACTGGGTGTGTCGCACTTTCCTTCAACGAACGATTGAATTTCGTGTCCTGAAGTGTGGTAATCATGTAGAGGACATCCTAAAAATGTTAATAAAGGCCGATCCCAAAATATCAGCTTAAAATCTCGGTTTTGGATGGATTCGTCACTTCGTCAAAACGGTGGAGATTTTGGCGTGCAGAAAAAAAACCCCAGATTCGTACCGCCTCCCTTATCAATGATATAGATGCGTCGGATAAAAAAAAAAAACACTTGACAGGGCAAACTACCTTAATATTGTGTATCAAACAAAATGCAACGGAGTAACTCTGACGAACAGAACTTTTTTGGTAGACAATTTGTGGAGGAAATGTAAGAAGAAAAAAACCCAGACCTGCATCATTTCCCGTCCATCTTTTGTGTTTTGCATTCATTTCTTACCTTTTCTGGCCCACAATAGTAGGCACCCGTCCATCCTCTCACAGCCAGCGGGAAACGCGTGGCTGAAGCCCCGTTCAGCTCGCACCGGCTCACGGTCCCGTTCCAGTAGTTGAACGAGAAGCAGCGGTCGTCCGACAGGCACTCCTTGCTGCAGTGCATCTTCGAAGCCCCCGTGAGGTTACGGAAGCCTTCACCGAGCAAGACCCGGTTCCCTGAGCCGTAGAAATACTGGTGCGCGCTCCGAAGAGCTAGAGAGCCGCTTTGCTGGGATGCGGCAGCCCGCCACGCCACACAGAAGGCCACAGCCAGACCCATCATCAGAATAGGAACTACAGACATCGTCAACGTCAAACTAACGTAAATCTTACAAGCAAGATCAACATGAATTGTATGTCTTCTTTTAGACAAGATTAAACTATTTCCTATATGAAACTGTTGCCAATTTCTTGTGATATAGCCTGGTATGGTAAAACATGATGTCGACACTGGTGTCTGATACTTATTAATAACTAATAAGTAGAACGATAACGGTGATCGTGACGCTGGATCACTTAATGCGTTTATCCATCAGCACTCTTCTTCCCTTGAATAAAACAATAAAGTCCTTGAAAACAATACCGTCTTGAGCACCTGTCTGTGTTGCTATGACAACCGCGGCATAGAGCCTTATTGTCATTAAGCATTCATGCTGATTGCCTTGAAGCAAGGATGAAATTGTCCGCCCTCTTCAATGCAATAAACGTGATATTCCTTCTGTTGATGCTGTTGCAAAACTATGGAAGGTCGACGATGCAAAAATAAAGAGTAATTAGAGGTTCGCGTTTGTTGAGTTACAAACGTAGAGTGGTTGGGTAGACATGGCTAACTCGCAAACGGCGATAGGTCCATTCTGTTCCACACGCACAGCTTTAAGTGTGTGAAGCGTGCGAACTAGAGTGAAGCAAACTAATGGCAGCTGACGTCACACTTCGGTACTCTTTTGGAACTGATCGTAGAAATAATGTGGAGATCAAGCATTGTGACATGTGCCTCCCAACTCGGTAGTCATGTAAATAGACCCTAGCCCTGGCGAAGACGGACATGGTCTATGATTTGTAAGCAGATTCGGCGAATAATTATGCAACTAGACTGCGTATGACCTCGAGAAACTGACTAATCAGCAGGAGCCTTCTATACGCGCGTAATGCGTAAGCATCACGCCCACGATTATGAGTAGCATTAACCATCCAGTGGTTATACCGGAGATGGGCTCCGTGGAGAATGAGTGATACTCAGACTACCAACTCGGAGGATTTCATTCGCCAAAAACCCCAACTTGTGGGTCTGTTTCGCATAGAGCCGGCTGGCTACATTTAGACCTGGTCCCATTGATTGGCAACTATTTTAGTGGTAGTTAGGGGAGGGGGGGGGGGGTAGGGGAATATAAAAAATATATAATTTGCGGCTGTCTCTAGTAAAATTGAAAAGAAAATTGTCTGAGAGGTCGTAATTCTTTAATTTCGAGTGAAAAAAAAACCCACCTCTCCGCCTTGCTTCTGAGCGCTACCAGGCGGCGCTTTTTTCTGTTCGGTTTGGTTTTCTATGAGGGCGTATTTGGTGGAGTGGAACCGTCAACGCTTGCAACCCATTCACGGATTCGCCCATCACAAACCAACTATAATTGACATTTTCAAAAATGTGTGACTTGACACATCTTTGGAAATTACCTTCTTTTATTGTTTTCTTCAAACTGAAACGCATGCCAGAAGGAATAAGTTTACAGGGAATTTAGTGTCATTAAATATAATAGTGTCAATAATTTAGTCAGTTACTGTTTGGATAGCTGCAAATGGTCCACTCGGCCTTTAATCTATTTTTTTAAAAAGATTTTACAAAATACTGATTTCAGTAAAATAAAAACAGCATAGATTGGCTCAGCAAAGAATTCAGCTTTTTCATAATACTTACTTTTTTATTTGAAAAAAAATTGACAATGTTACGGAACTGGAGGCAAAGTATAAAAAGTAAATAAGTAATAAAAATGAAAACGGTGTAATTCTACATGATCGTACAGATATGTCACCCGTGTGCATGCTATCTTCCCTGTTAATAGGACTAAGTTCCGTCAAAAACTGGATGCTTTATATTTATCGCTTATTCATAAATACCTAAAAGACAGTTTACACATTGCTATTGGTCGAGAGCCCGTCACGTGGCCGGTCTTAAACGGATGATAAAGACATGGCTAGCTGGTCTTAAACACTTTTCCGGTGTCACATGAAATTTGGACTCCCATGAAATCCGGTGCCTTTTCACGTTTCATTGGTTGAACGTTCACATTCCTCATGTATGCATGCGTAACACTACCAGTGAATCAGTATTTCATGGTCCGAAATTCACACTATATACCAGCTCAGCTGCGTTTTGCGCGACATCGCGCAGTACGCGCGACGCTATAAGGTAACGAGTTTTGGAGGGGCATTCCATTTTATAGTCAGAGGGGTGTTTCGTAAAACATAAAATAAAATTGTTGAACAAAATGGTTGGAAACGTCTAGTTGTTTAATTGTCTTAATTTTTGTTTGACCGAAAGGATATTTATGAATGGAAATAAATATGTGTTCGGTCGGTATTAAACACTCTGTTTGGGTGTTAAATACCCTCGGATTCGCCTCGGGTAATTATCACCCATCCAGACACCCACCAGTCTAACAGAGTGTTATAATACTTCCCGAACACACATTTTATTCCCTTATAAAAGAAAGATAACTGAAGTATGTAATCAAAGACATGATATAGAGGGGATGTTGGGATATGACAAAAGTATGGCACCCCATTCGTTATTAAAAATCAGACTCTTCGCTGTTGTCAATTTTAAGCCGCCATGAACAACGCTACCTAGGGGTGCAGACCTGTAAATGAGTCCAGAATTGCTTAAGCGGGCCAAATCCCAATTTCATTTTTTGAGCCACAAACTTGAAGGTTCGTAAAAAAGATGGGTGGAAGCCGTGCACAGAAGTGTGAGCTCGTATTTCTGTTAAAATTATCATGAATTTGCGCCCTAAAATTTTCAAAATGGCGATGGGCCACAGAAGTACCTTTCGGGGTGATCATCTTTGGATGGAATTTTCTCCCAAAAGTTATCAAATAAAAAATTGAACAGAAAATGAAAGATTATGAAATAAGCTTTCATTTGATGGTTAAGTCAAACACATTGGAGATTTGTGAGTATTTTTCAATACGTTTTTGGAAGTACGCGTAATTATCACTGAAGTCTATGGGAGTCGATTTGCAGGTCTGCACCCCTAGTGTCATATGATGTCAAGTCCCGTGGCGCCCCCTATTGTCAGGTGTCAAATGTCGGCACTTATTGGTCTCCCAATTCGTCGATCGTACCACGATCTGACCTATCTCAGTTTTTGCCATTTCGAGAAAAACGCGTTTGAAGTTGGGCCTATTTTGCATCCACTCTTTCAGCCAGAACACTAATTTTTGTTGACTCAGTTTTTATATATAATAAAGTTGAATAGTTGAATTATGATTTTAAATTGTTTCTAAGGCAAAAACTCATCATCACCAGGTGAAAAATAGGCGCGAAATCCATAAGTCACTTCGTGAAAATTTCATTTTCATATTTCATGCGCGCGAACGGCGACCTATCTAGATAGGTCACTTCGTGAAACGAACAATTTCGATTTCTCTGTAGCTGATAGTGACTTATGTCATATGCGCATGCGCGCGCGGACCTCTTCACGTTAAGTCATTTGGAGGTACGTTGCAATTAGAGATTAATAAGCTCTTACAAATTAAAACGCTGTTATAGTGAAGGAAATTAGAAAATGAATTCCAATATATACGGGGTGCATCGAAACTTGTCGAATACATTGTGTATACCTCCTAGTAATAGTTCTTGAACGAATTCATTGTAAAGGTGTACTTTTATTCCTTTATGTTAAAAAAATTGCTTACATTCATGCTCCAGGAATCGATCACTTTCCTTTCAACGAAGCGTTTTCAAAACTTCATTCAATTATGTAGACGAATGGTGATCTGTATAAACTTTTGGCTGCAATTAACCACTGAGACATCCACATTCTGTAACACAAACAAACCAAACCAATCACGAATCATAATATTCAAAAAGCAACCTTAGTTTGGCCCTTTTATTTAATAAATATTTTCCCGAAAGGACAGTCAGTGAATCAACGTAAAATATCAACCGAGATGTCATTAAAAAGCATTAGTTCGGAATCGAACCCCACTCAAATGTTATTCAATACGAGTATCAAAATACAGAAGGAATATACTTACAGACGTTTACAGAATCAGAAACTCGGTTGAAACTTGCTAGTTTCGTTCAGCCATCAAACGACGTGTGTACGCCGCCATTGTTTTGATAACGCTAAAGACTGGCCCCTAGTAACTTAATTTCATAAGAAAGTGACAGGGGCCACATTAAGTCCAGGTACCAGACTCTATAAGTCACTTCGTGGAAAACTGACAGCGTTGTTTACGCGTTTCACGAAGTGACCTATCTCGATGCGTCAGTTCGTGAAATGATAATTTAGCATTTTGTAGCGATAGGTCAACATTTTTAATTAGCTGAATCAGCTTAATTAGCTAATTAGGCCACTTATGAATTTGAAATTTTCAGAAAATAAAGATTTCATCATGCATAACCAGAATATGCTAAAAACCCAAATTCGTCAAAAATTAAGATAGGTCAGATCGTGGTACGATCGACGAATTGTAGATACATTTTGTGTATAATGTTTATGGCAATGTCCGTTTCAGAATTAATTTGCAACTTGTCTCACACGTTAACTCTCGTTTCTTTTACTTTCCAGTAACAATGCGATGGTCAACACGTTCCGCTCTGGCAGGCCTGGCCGCTGGCTTCGTGCTTGGACTAATCCCATCCCTGTACTTGAGCGATTTGGGGAAAGTTCGTCTTGAAAATAATCAGCTACTGGAGAAGTTGGAAAGGGCGCAGTCCAAAGATCTATCCCGGGCCGTCACTCGCGTGAGTGGGTGAGTGTTCCTCGCTTTAAGGGACATGAGACGAATCTAAAACAATTTTTGCTTTAAAGAGGCCCATGCAATGTAATTTGTTTTAATGCAATTAAATCCTTGAAACTGAACCTTTGTGTCCCATTTAACCTTTTTTTCAATTATCGTTTTGCCATTTTCAAGGGCATTTTGTGCCTTTTTGGTTTTTTTTATGAAGTGAATTTCCATATTCATAAGCAAAAGTGTGATGTCATTTCAGGCAGAAACCTCATTGTTACAGCATCACAACTTGCCAAAATATTGTACGTTTTGCTGCGGTAAATTTTATTTTCTTTGGCGATTCGTTGTTAAGTCGGTACATGGCAGTCTCACAAACTAGTCTCACAAATGTACTCAATGAGCAAAATGTTTGGGTTCACAATTTGAACAGAAAACCCCTGAACTGAATACAGTGTTCATGAAATGACATCACAGCAACAGCACCCTCAGTTGTCCGGAAAAGTATGGAAATTGTTTTTAGTGTTTTAAAAAGTGCAATTTTCAACAAAATTAACCAAAAAGGGATGTCATATAGTGTTCTGACTTTTAAGAGGAGTAGAAAGTTGCAAAAAGTGTTCCTAAGAAATATTCATGTCATGGATCCTTGAAATATTTGGTAAAGGGCATAAAAAAACTCTTGAGGGCGCTGTTACTAGTAGAAACGAGCTAAAGTCAGGAAACGTAATGACCACATAAGTTAAGTTAACATTAATTCCCTAGCTAGGCAAGACTTAAGGGTTAGTGCATAAAGATTGTTCATCATCTGGCTTTCTTAAGCAAAGAAAATGTGCAACAAAACGTAGAAAATAGACCACACAAACAATAAACCAAATATTCTTACAAATGTTTTTACTCTAACCCCGTAGCTTGTATCGAAGATAGCACCACTCTTTGGCCATGAATATGGACATTTTTTATGGGCCTTTTAAAAATCTGAAGACCTCTTAAACCACTCCAATACAAGACCGACATTATGGTAATGACGCAAAGATGAATTCCATTATTCCATAACAAATATAAGTTTGCTAATAGGTCTTTTTAAACCTATGGCAAAATTCCTCTGGGATATTGCACGAGTAAATCGACGGTGACCAGCCATCTCCGGCCACCCTCAAGTTCCGCCTGTTATATCAGTTTCATGTGATAGTGTGAGCTGTTTTCATTTCTCCAAAAAAGAGTTGCTTTGGATCTAGATGTCGATGACTTCCGGCAAAACAAACCCCAGATAAAGAGAGAACCCACAAAACAACGGAAGATCTTTCTGGACTGCGGCGCTAACGTGGCATCCACCGTTCAACTCTTCCGCGAGACCTACCCCGGAGGACGAGATTTCACCATCCACTCGTTCGAAATCGACGAGCGGCTGTCGCCGTATTTTGAGCCGTACGACAAGCACCATCTACACTGTCCCGTTGGCGTAGCTGGCAAAGACGGTTAGCAGTTTTGTTGTCCGTTATTTTTGAAAGCTGCAGCATAGGCCTGTTTGTACATATTTCATCCGATCATGCGCTACGAGAAAAAAATCCTTTCGAAATTGTTGCATGTTATCTCTTGATGGCGCTCTAGGTTTATATTTCGAATTTGGAATTTTGTGATAGGGATATAAAGTTTAGTGGGTTTTATCCTTCACCGATGTAATTTTCAAAAGCACTGTGTACTCAGTGTTGTACGAGAGCATAATTACAAGAAAAAAATATTTGAAAGCTTACGCACGGTCTGTTGTCATGGGCAGGCTGTAGCGCCCTCTAATGTTTGTTAGCTGAGTCAATAGGCCTACCTAAGAACTTTCCACGTTTTGTTTTCGTTTACAGGTAACATGACAGCATATTCTGAGATGGTATGGGGACCAAATAAGGGTCTCAATGCCGGAGCCGACATGCAGTGGGGAGGCGGCACGCTATTCGCGTTCGAATCAGAAAAGAGAAATAATAAAACAGGTACATTTTCATAACCGAAGTATTAATTCGTACATCTGCCTAATAAAAACCTAGCATGATCCAACAAAACACAACCGAACCCAGCCCAGCCCAGCCCAGCCCAGCCCAGCCCAGCCCAGCCCAGCCCAGCCCAGCCCAGCCAAGCCCAGCCCAGCCCAGCCAAGCCCAACCCAGCCTAATAAAAACCTAGCATGATCCAACCAAACACAACCGAACCCAGCCCAGCCCAGCCCAGCCCAGCCCAGCCCAGCCCAGCCCAGCCCAGCCCAGCCCAGCCCAGCCCAGCCAAGCCCAGCCCAGCCCAGCCCAGCCCAGCCCAGCCCAGCCTGCAGCCCAGCCCAGCCCCAGCCCAGCCCAGCCCAGCCCAGCCCAGCCCAGCCCAGCCTGCAGCCCAGCCCAGCCCCAGCCCAGCCCAGCCTAGCCCAGCCCAGCCCAGCCCAGCCCCAGCCCAGCCCAGCCCAGCCCAGCCCCAACCCAGCCAAACCCAGCCCAGCCCACCCCAAAAGTACAACATACAGCATAGCCAACATACCCCAATCCAATTCACTAAACCATCTTTGATTTTTTTCCCTCAAAAATTTAATAAAATATTTCCTTAGAACTTTCCATTGCATCGATCATCTGCCTTGCCTGATCTTTATTAACCCTCTAGGATTTAATGTGCAGCATACCCTGTGTGGTTATTTTTTGTGTGTCTCCGATAGGTGGCGGCCGTAAACTTTCCGTACGGAAAACTATTCCAGTCATTGACCTCTCCAAGTGGATTGCGGACACATTCTCCCCTGATGATTACATCATCTTCAAACTGGACGTAGAGGGCGCTGAATACGACATACTGCGGAATATGCTGGACAACAACGTGTTTGCAACATACGTAGACAAGTAATTCATTCAAGAAAAAAAAAAAAGAAACTGCGAAACCATCACATTTTGAAAGAACTAAATATATCCAAAAATAGCCCCAAGTCTTAATTTTTTTCCTTTAAAGTGTGCTGTATATGCAAAAAAAAAAAAGCATGGAAGCCAATCGTTGTATTTTATCGTCATTCTATAAAATATACAATTGGAGAACATCTTACAACTTTCGAAAAAAATCCAGGCAACTGTAACTGGTTTTTTTCCGTGTTTATATCACACACAAACACCTTTTGAAAACCCCATTGACATATACAGGCTAGATTAAAACTCGAATTAAAAGCTTCGGACGTTCGAATGACCACTAGTTCCAAAAAATCATTGGCAGTTGTTGGGGTACCTATAAAATTGCTCCCTTCCTGTATTACCCAACGTAAAACTTGACATTTCCTGAACTGATACCGTCCCTTTCACTTACCCACACATCATACCCAATCATATAATTCCTGCTTTTACTCCAACGTTATTTACTTTATCCTAACGCAAATCCATTCTATCCATGAGTGTCCCAAGAGGAGCACGCAAAGCCCGGCCGAAAAGAACGCCCCTTTTTATTTCTTGAGAAGCTTCTTCTTACTGATTTGCACCCCCTGGAGCGACACATCTGCTTGCACTCCACTCTCTTCATAAACCAACTCATTCAAAACTCACCAGGGCATATTTTCAGATTCCTAAATTTGTTCTACCTGAACAGGTACTACGGCGAATACCATGACTACCAACCATCCGGCTGGGCACAGAAGGACAAAGATAAGATTCGCGATGACATTGAGAAATTGGACATGCATATGATATCTTGGGAGGGAGAAAGAAGAACGTACGGCGACATCGAGGATTTGAACCCTGTCAAGGTCAGGACTCTTTCCAGAGATGTAGCACTGGACATGCATTAACATTCTGGACGTGTTAATTTAGGGTATTCAAATTTGAGCAAATTTGAAATCTAAATAAAGACCTTTGGCAACCAGTACATGCTGTTTATTCTTATAATGTTTGAATGATTTCGAATACTTTAATACAGGTCCCTTTTAACGCTCCTGGCAGGAGTGGCTTGATCTACTCAAGTTGCGCCAGCGGCTCGGTAGCCGTGGTTGTTGCCGTTGGCATGAACTACAAGCGAGCACATGCGGTGGTGTCGACCCTGGCCGCCCACAAGCCCCTGGTCCCCACTACGCTCTTCGTCTACGGGGACTTCGCTCAGCTGTACCCAGAGGCAGTCAGGTCCTGGGCCCAGCATTTCAACATCGGGATCCGGGAGGACGGGCCTCAGCCCCCAGGCCACCTGGAGCAGATGCCCTCGGAGTGGGTCCGGCTAGGGCTGATGAGCACCATCTTGCGTCTCGAGGAGATCGGCATCGTGTCGTCTTACTACCTGCCATCGACGGAGGACAAAATTAGCCCGAGAATGATCAGGCAGATTGCCAACAGGGGATTGAGGATTGTGCAACCAGCAGTACAATTCCCGGGAAAGAAAGGTACTAACTTAATGGTTGTCGCACTGTCTTGTGTTTCATGCGAGTCAATCACGAATCTATAAGACAATACAACGACTGTTCGTAATTACACTACTTCAAGACTGAATTTGGTATTCACCACGTGGTATTTTCAAAAGGGTGGGATTGATTCGGTTTTGGTTGTATTCGTGTTTACATGGCTGAACCGATCGAGCCGATTGGCGCTGAGCATCGCATAGTTTAAACCGAACCGACCCGAACACGCTGTATTTACCAAACCGAACCGAAGTCGGTTTAGGGCGTGTCGCTTTTGGTTTCAGGTCAAGTATGCCTAACTGTATTCTTGGCTAAACGGTCCGGGATTAAGATTGGCCTCTTCTATCAGCTGATGCCTAATCAGCAATGGGTGTAGCTATGGTATACGCCTACGTAAATAGACCATAATTTGTGGTGGACAATAGAGTTGTAAACATAATTTGGAAGGCTTTTTCTGATTACAAAACTCAAAACTCAACAATGAATTAGACTCAGTCTCATTATTTGAGTCAAGTCAAAGCCAGCCAGCACGGGTCTTTCCCCCCAACTAATATCTGCTTTTGTAATGTTAAGGTAACTCTGGTGGTATTGTCTATTGTATAGTCCATTGGTTTTGTGTTGTCCTGTCTGATTGTTGTCTGTTTTTGAGTATTCCAGAAAATGATTCGTGCTGATGTACTGGTTAATTTTGAAGTTTTATGCTCAATCTGTTGGGTTTGTATGTTTTAATGTTGCATATTGAAATTAAAAAAAAAGAAAAACAAAATTGGCCTATAATTTGTGGTGGGTGTGAGCACAAACAAGTGGATCACATGTTATTGGCTTAATCTCGCATGTTGTTGTTTACAATTTCAAATTGAGCTATAATTGAAGCGTTGAATTTCTGATGCCTGTACCCAAACATTTCGTCAGATATAATTATAGCGCCACCATTCACTCAAAAATATGGCTTTTGCTTGTCAATGTCATCAGCATTTGCCAATACATGCACGGCTGGCTCAGCTGTAACTGCTGAAGAAACAGACTTGCAGAAGCCCCAGGCAAAAACGGACGCAGTTTAGTCCTACTTTATTGATAAAAGTCTTTGCAATTTGACAGGGTCACCGGAGGAACTGACGTTTGATAACTACTACCGCCACCGTGACGTGGATCGCGTCCCCAAAGCACTGCGCCTCATCCACGATGCGCTCTTCAACAACAAAGGGGGCGTGCTTTGCTTGGAAACCGATCTATCGGACACCTACATGAACTCGGTGTTCCTGATGGATTATCTGGTAGAGACGTCGGGTTTCAAGCTGGTAGATTTGGAGGAGTGCATTGCAAAAACATCAATTCCTTAATGGGGTTTGCCGGATGCTAGTTGTAGCTCAGTATACAGCGTGAGTAAAAAAAACGAAACCCAAATGTTTTGACTATTGTTTTAGTGAAGTTCTGCATGGAGCACTTTTAAAATCTAGAATAATTATGATAGCCCAATTCATAAGCTTTCTTTTAGTACAAGAATCATACAAATCACTTATGAATATTTTTAGTTACAGAATGCTAAACACAACCACCGTTTTAAGGTTCTGTCCACGGATCACAAAAAAGTTCAGCGTTCTTTCAGCAAAACAAAAACAAGTCACGTAGGCCTAATAATGTGTGTGAACTGTTTTCGTTTTGCTGAAAGAACGCACACCTTTTTGGTAATCCGTGGACAGAACCTTAAAACGGTGGTTGTGTTTACAATTCCGTAACTTTAAAAATGCATAATTAATTTGAATGATTCTTGCACTAAAAGAAAGCTTATGAATTGGGCTATTATGTCCTAGCTTTTCAAAGTGCTCCATGCGGAAATTCACTAAAACAATGGTCCCAACATTTGGGTTTCGGTGGTTTTTTTTACTCACCCCGTATGGCAGGTGCACTCTAATTTTCGTCCGGGTCAGATTGACCAGAAATCCAGGTTTTATTTGGCTCAGTCCTCGTCGGGTTCAACAAGTGCAAGTGCACACTAAGCTCTGGCCGACTTGCATGAAAGTCTTACATGAAACCAACGCAGTTTTACACAGACCCATATGATCAGCGACCTCTACAGCCACATTGGCGTGTAGCTTGGGAGTTCCCTTTCATAACCGGCACCACGAAATGACACTCACGGGCAAGTCGGGGAGTCAGGTTGGCGTAGCGGTACTTTCCTCGCCTTCCACCGCTGTGACCGGGGTTCGAATCCCGCCTGGGCCAATAAGTGAATTGGGTTTTCAGTCCCTGCCTGATTCCGTGGGTTTCCCCGGAATATTCTTCTGGGCTTTTCCTCCCACCTCTGAAACTGTAAATTTTTCTCATTGTCTTCTCTCCACAGGTTTCTTCAGGCTTGCGAGCTACAGTGCTTAGGGAACTTTTGAAGAATCCTTGGTTTAATTACCAGAAATGATTATTAATAATAATAATAATAATAAGTGGGTGTCAGTTCGTGAAAACCGCGTAATCACGATCTGACACCCGGTATTGCGCGCGCACATCAGACACTGACGCAACATAGGAGATGTTCGTTTTCACGAACTGACACCCAAGCATGCTGCGGCAATACAGAACGGAGAAAAACGGTTTGAAAGGTCTTACACGAATTCAATCCATCCGTATACTCGTGTGCTTACACAAATTTTTTATTAAATACCGTTTTAATTGGAGAAATTAAGGTCAGTGTCAGTTTGTGAAACCGAAAATGTACAGGGTGCGCCAAGGGCGGATCGGGTGTGAGCTTGTCTTACATACGCAGTGTGGACTTCCGAACAAAAGACGTCCACATAATGTAGGTAGCAGCGACGAAGTGTGGACTTGCCCACGTCCACACAGTGTTTCCCCATTTCTGGAAAACAGGTTTAGAGGCATTTTTGGGTTAGGTTTATCTGTAGCAGAATGAAGAGAAACACTAAAGGGAATCATTGAAAAAAAATTGGGTTGTAAGAGTTTTCACAGTTTGAGAAAAATGAGTTTTTCCACTGGTGTTCCTTAACTACACGAAAAGAAAGGAAAGTCCACACTAGGTATGTGAAACAAGTCTGTGTGTGTGTGTGTGTGTGTGACTATGTGTGCTTGTCTTACATACGCAGTGTGGACTTCCGAACAAAAGACGTCCACATAATGTAGGTAGCAGCGACGTTGTGTGGACTTGCCCACGTCCACACAGTGTTTCCCCATTTCTGGAAAACAGGTTTAGAGGCATTTTTGGGTTAGGTTTATCTGTAGCAGAATGAAGAGAAACACTAAAGGGAATCATTGAAAAAAAAATTGGGTTGTAAGAGTTTTCACAGTTTGAGAAAAATGAGTTTTTCCACTGGTGTTCCTTAACTACACGAAAAGAAAGGAAAGTCCACACTAGGTATGTGAAACAAGTCTGGGTGTGTGTGTGTGTGGGGGGGGGGGGGGGGGGCAACAGGGGCATCCCCCCAAAAAACACGAACCCAATTTTTTTATTTTTAAACGTTTAATGGAAAAATTTACCTTAAATTTACAAGTGTGCAGTGAAAATTGCTTGAAACATGCTTGCCACTTGAGTATCAACCCAACTCCTTTTAATTTCTCTGAATTATTCGTGAATTTACTTTTTACTTTAATTTACTTTATTCCGTCTCATGGTACATGTAAAGTTAAAAAGATAAACATAAAATTCTTCTAAATAAATTCGGTATGTTATAACGATTAACGGATAAAACAATTGATTAGTATTAATAGCAAGAGATGAAGGGGACCCCTTAAAAAGCAAAGCTTGTCGGGTGCGAGTCCGGCCCCCGAACAACAAAAACAATATCACAGTTAACAAGGTACATAAATAACAAACAAAAACCACTTTGTAGAAACATAAACATTACAAGAATGTAAATTACGGGGGAATTATTATGTAAAGGTAAGTATTAACAAATTTAATTTAATTTAATTTTATATAAACTAAGGTTAGGGGCTTTATTAAATAAAGATGATATTAAAGGAAATAGCGTTAAAGAAAATGGCGTTAAAGTAAAATTGTTAAACAAAATGGTTGGCAACGTCTATAGTTTTGGACCGAAAAGAGTTTTGTTGACCGAAAAGGTATTTATGAATGGGAATAAATATGTGTTTGCTTGGTATTAAACACTGTTTCAGACCAGTTGGAGTCTGCCGTGCTGTTAATTACCCATCCGGACTCCAACCGTTCTATAAACAGAGTGTTATAATACCTCCCAAACACACATTTTTTTCCCTGATCAAGAAGTTTATACCAACAAGGGATAATGGGGCTTCAAGAACATGAATATTTGTTGAAAATAGATTGTTTGATCTTAGCTTTGAATGTAGAAATGGATGTCGATTTCTTAATAGATTCGGCAAGGGAATTCCAGAGTTTAGGGACTTCAAATTTCACACTTTTCTTTGAAAAGGAGGTCCTTACTGATGTCCAATGAAAGTCATTGGCATGTGTATTTAAATGGGTATGCAAAGTTCTTTTTCTGTGAAACATCCATGAAATGGATTCTGGGAGATTATTTTGTGTGTGAGCTGAAACATACAAAAATACCAAGTTGATTGTAATATAACTTATTGTAGAAAAAGCGGGTCTGTATAGGCAAGGTAGCTAGTATGATTAATAATTCGTAGAACTTTATTTGTAGTAGCAATAAACGGTTAATTGATTTTTAGGAAGTGTTCCCCCACGCTAACATTCCATAATTGATGTAAGACAAAATTAGAATGCTGTACAGAGAAAAGAAACATATTGAGGGACATAGAACTTGATGCTATTGAGAACGCCGATATTTCTGGAAACAGTTTTACATAGATAATCAATGTGATTGTCCCAGGATAATTTATTATCAATATATAAACCTAGAAATTTAGTGCATTTTGTCACAGTAATCTTGTGTTTATCAATAAGAATAATCTCTGGTAATGATAATAAAGACTACTAAACAACATACAGTTTATCTTTTTGGTTATATTTAACGAAAGTTTGTTGGTTACGGCGTTAATCAATTCATTAATGTTTTATTGCTGTTTTTGCTGTTCACGTTTGTTTGTTTCTATGCGCCTTGAGCATGTAATCAAGATGGATTTGGTGCATTATAAATTATTATTATTCTTCTTATTATTATTAAAGAATAAATTTGAATCATCAGCAAATAAAATACACGAAAAACACTGTGAGACATTGACAAAGTTATTCATATAATTTAGATTGGAATATTTGAATATAATTTACCGATAAATAAAGCCCAAGTTAATTTGCAGAGATTGAAGACGCTCCAAAACGTCTTTTTCAACGGCCAAATTTTGTTTATTATGTCCCCTTCTCGGCCAGCGGAACTGCCAACGCCCACAGCCGGCTGCTGCTGCGGGTGCTGGACGGAGGATCGCTGACGCGGTAACGGTTCCACGCCACCAACAGCGACTCCCCAGGACTCGGTCTGTCCCGCACGGGGGAAGTTCCATTCCCCAGATGTCAGGCCCGGATTATCTAATAGGAACAGTAGGCACTGTGCCTACGGCCTACCAAAAAATCGGGGGCCTACGGAAATACCGCATGAATTTGTATCCTTGTGGAGACATCTCTCCCTTCAGTGTGATGTGCCATAAAACACTCACACACGTTTGTTAATGGTGTAAATCGAGGATTTTCTATTGTTCGTCTTTCTCGTTCCACACGCAGAGAAAAAAGTCAAAAAAGTTTTAGTGTCTCTCTCTCTCTCAGAATTTCCCATTTTTCCAACTGTGGCTCTACAGCATTGTGGCATACACAAAATAGGTCCTACGTAATATAAGATTAACCGTATAAAGTTTGTCGCTCTGAAGCATGGTGCCAACCATGGACGTCGATCGGTGGGGGACGGGGGCACATGTCGTCCCACCCGAGTATTTTCGAATAACAAATTGTTTTAGCCTAGGCCTATTGTGATTCTATAGCTCAGAATAGCTGATTCTGTTACTCCGAACTCGAAAATGATGTTTAAATTGGTGAACTTTTGCTAAAAACATAATTGGTTAAAGTTGTAAGAAATTGCCTCAGAGCGCACCACAGAGCATACAGAATCCATTCCCCCGGGCCTTACGCGGGTCCCGAACCCAACGCCGTTAGGCTTCGCACTTGCATTACTTCTGATCAAGTACGCCTATCACCCCCACTTTTGAGAAGCGATTGATGCCCCAACAAGCTTGAGAGCTAGGACCTATACCAGTTCATCCTGGCTAGATTTTGTACAGTGCTTTATACTGTAATAGCATCAACATGAATTTGGTGCCGATGCCTAGGGCGCAGTATAGGGCCTACGGAACACTGGTGCATAGGGCCTTCGAAAAACTTTATCCAGGCCTGCCAGATGTGACAGGG